TCAATAGTTCTAGGGTGGGGTCCAGGATTCTGAATTTTAATGAGCTCCCCAAATAATTCTGATGTAGGTGGCCCTCTTCTGCCCACTTAAGAAATATACTACTGTAAAAGAAACATTTTAATTCACTTATTCATTCAAAAAATATTAAGCACTGTCCTAAATGTTTGGGGATAGACTGGAGAATAAGACAGGGAAGCCCCCTGCACTCAGGGAGACTAGTCAGTTAGGGAAGGGCCATAGAATCTGAGGTTCTGCCTCTGCTCCTCGGGTGCTCCCCAAAGGCCCTCCAAACCAGAGCTCTGCACCTTGTCTGGCAGGCCAAGGGCCACTTCAGCTCCAAACCACAATCCTTCTCAGTTTCATTTTTGGTCACCAGGCTATTTGTCTAGGCTCTGGGACTCTTCATGGAGGGGTCCAGGCTGAGGCCTGTGGTGGAAGCCCCTAGGATTCTCCAAACCCTGTAGCAGCTGCTCTGAGTGACCAGCTGAAGAGTGCGTGTCTGGGGCCAGCAGCCAGAATGCAGGGACAGAGACCACTGAGGGTTCTGACAAGCACAGAAGGGCTGTCAAGGTGAACTTTGGCGTGTAGGCTCCCTGCTTCAAATGTAGTGACCCCCCAAATTCAGATGTTGAAGTCTTAGTCCCCAGTGTGATGATATTTGGAGATGGGGGCCTCTGGGGAGTAATAGGATTAGCTGGAGTCACTGGGGTGAGGCCCTCTTGACGAGATTAGTGTCCTGTAAGAAGAGACACCTGAGAGCTTGCTCTCGCTCTCTGCCATTTGAGGACACAGTGAGAGGCAGCCAAGCAGGAGGAGGGCTCTCACAAAAACCTGACCTGCTGGCACCCCAATCTCTGACTTCCAGCCTTCTTGATTTATAAGAAAATAAATGTCTGTTGCGTCAGCCCAAGCTGACTAAGACACAGCAGAATTGATATTGGCCCCTCTCCTGGCTTCGGCTTTTCTGCTTACTCTGAGGCCCAGTTTAATCCTTCTGTTCCATCCCCTGCCCTGCCCACTTATCTCTCTGGGCACTCCTTCAGAGCCTGAAACCTTAATCTGCTCCCTATGCCCTCCTAACTGGCTTCAGAGCGAGCCACAGGCCCACCTGGTGTTGCTCTTACTATGTCTGAGTCCTGGCCACCTTGTCATGCAGAGCCATCAACTACCACCAGTTAGCATTCAGACAGAACAAGAAGCCCCAGAAGGTGTATGCAAGTGTGTCAGTGTGGGTGTGAGTTTTTGTGTGTGAGCATGTGTGTATATTTATGAGTAAGTATGCATGTAGGTACGTGCTGAGAGAGGCTGGATACAACTGAACAATGGCCAGACCCACAATCTGCAGCACACAACCCAGGAAGCCAGCCTGCTGGAAATCAAACTCGCAGGAAGTCAGACCCTATCTCTAGTAACCACAATCCCCGTAAAAACTGGCCCAAATTTTTTCCTCCCGCTTTCAATTCAGAAGAAGCAAATGTGTACCCCAAACCAATAACCGGGGCTCGCTTCTAGTTCCCCGTGCCAGTAGCGTCCCATTGGGGCGCACCTGAAGCCCCCCCCCCCCTTTGGCCTGCCTTTGAGTCTTGGCCAAAACACAAGTGATGGTGGCTGACTGCCTGGCTGTAGCAGGCTCGGAATAAACAGCCTTTGCTTGTTCTCAGTTGGTTGGCCTCCATGGGTTTCCAGTGTGTGTGGGAGGGAGCTCTGTGTACATGCGTGAGTGTGCGTGAGTGTGTGTGAGTGTGTGCGCCTGTCTGTGTGTGGGGGGGATGGCAAAGTTGGTGAGAGGGAGTGTAACAGGAGCCTGTACTGACTGGAAGATCTCATCACTCTGAGTTTGTTCCCTTGGCAGTCCTCTTTTGGAGCTGACAGGAGGGAGGGGAGATGGGACAGGAGGGAAGGGAGGAGGAAGTGGACGACAGTCTCTCCTGTAACAGAGAGGAGATTGTAAAAGCTGGATTTGTTGGGGTAAAGTAACAAAGAGTCCCCAGAAACAGCACTTTCTCTCCTGCCCTTCCGAGCGTGCGGAGGTCTCAGGGCAACTCCTAGGCCCCACACTTCATTACCTCCCTCCTTTCACTGCTACAGCCAAGGGCAGGTACCGATGTGTCATTACCCCTGCCTGAGTGCCTGCCGTTCCCTCCAGACGCTCCCAGTGCCTCCCTGTTGAGACTAGAGCCCTGACTTCCTGCCATGAGTGCATCAGGGTTTAATCTGAGGCTGGGCGGCCACTTGCCAAAATTAATGGTTGGTAAAATTAGAACAAACAGAGGTAAATAGCCCATTACCTACCACAGTCTCCCTGTGATTTTAACTGCAGTAAAGAGATCACCAAGGTGCAGCTATTTTCTGATCAATGATGGTAATTTTCTTTCCCCTAAGATCAGCTTAATCACAGCAAGGGTCTTAGAGAGCACAGGGGTCAAAGGAAAATTACACGGTTGTGCAGGATGTCTCCGCAGCCGCTGTTTATTTTGCACGTGATTCTAACTGATGCAGTGTCGTGCTTGCTCAGAAGCAACGCGTGGTGCACTTGGAGAAGCTATGAGGGACTGTCTGGCTATGCCTCGGGCCTCTGCAGAGGACTGCAGAACAGGGCAGTCTGTGGTACAGCCACAGGTACCTGGCTCTGCAAAGCTTCCTGTCAGCTGTAGTTTTAAAATCAAAGTAACCAGGGCTGACACCTTGCCCTATCCAAACACGTGCCTCAAGCCTGGCATCCAGCAATGGTTTTAAAAGGGTGTAAGTGGCAAAATGAAGAGAGCTCCCAAGCCCTCGGCATTTTCTGTTGCATGTGTGTGGCAGCTGGAGAAATGTGTGCTAATACAGGAAAAATTGCCAGCCAAACTCAGTGCTAGAGGGTCTCCGAGCTGGTGGTCTACTCACTTGCTCAGCAAGAGTTTGATTAATACTTCCTTCCTTCCCTGTTGTTTTCCAATCAATCATCCAGTTTTGATCGCGTCTATTTTCTTCCACCGTTTGTTCTGTATTGTCTCCTAAAGGGCAAAGGCATATTAAATCAGGAGTTGACTTAATTGCCAGTTTAAAACATTAAAATCCATAGTGTAAACCAATTAACAAACTGATCATTACATGAATCACCAACCTACTTCTTGTGCATAAGAACTGAGACAAACAGTGACTAATGACATTAAAAAGCAGCAGTGCACCGAACAAAAAATTAATGGCTGTGTCAGGAGCATCGAAATTCCAGTCACCTCGAGTGTTTACAACAACCAGATCACTGCAGAAACCTACCGGAAAGTGGTGACTCATGGTAACCTGCAGGAAAGGGGTGAGAGATAGGTGTCTGAGGCCTCTCTCTATATGCCTGTCTCTCTTGGCACCACAACAGCCATGAGTATTGCATTCTCTAGTGCTTAGACCCTAACCCTAGACCAAAGGAAGAACTTCAGTTAGAACACAAAAACCTAACACTCTAATCTCCCCTGCATACTGGTTTAAACAGACACCTCCTTCCTGCATTGTTTCAATTGGGTAGAATTTCCACTCCCATTCTAATCCATCTCAGTCCTATTTTGTTTGTTGTTAACAACCTCTGAGAAATTTATTGTTATGCAAAGAGGAAGAAAGGTGACTTGCAGACCCCACCCCCACCCTCAGAACAGACTTTGCTTTGGAAACAGGTCCTTTAAAAGATCATTTCTCTCTTACAATACAATCCAGCAATCAAATACCCTTATATTTTTCCAGAGGCGTTGAAAACTTATGTCTGCACAAATACCTGCATAGTGATGTTTATAGTAGCTTATTTATAATTGCCAAAACTTGGAAGTAACCAAGATGTTCTTCAGTAGGTGAATGGATAAACAACTGTGATACATGCAGAATATTATCCAGAGCTAAAAAGAAATGAGATATCAAGCCATAAAAAGACAAGGACGAATCTTAAATGCATATTGCTAAGTGAAAGAAGCCAATCTGAAGAGGCTACGTACCGTATGATTCCAACATATGATGTTCTGGACTAGGCAAAACTTTGGAGACAGTGAAAAGATCAGTGGTTCTCAGGGGTTGGCAAGGGCGGGGGTGCATGAGGGAGGGATGAACAGGTGGAGCACTGAGGATTTTTAGGGCAGTAAATCTAAGCTGTATGATACTACAATGAGAATACATGTCATTATTGTACATTTGTCCAACCCCAAAGAATGCATAATACCAATAGTGAACTTTGGGTGATTATGATGTGTCAATGCAGGTTCATCAGTTATAACAAATGTACCATCCTATGGGGGATGTTCACAATAGGGAACGCTATTCGCACGTGGGCGTGGCATGGCCCTTCCCCTCTCCAAGAGTCTGGGAGAGGGGCATTCATCCAGGGCCCAGGAAGGAAGATGGGTCTGGCTGGAGAGAAGTGGCCTGGCCATGTTCTGATGGTGCAGATGTCCCTGTTGCCTGGGCCTGCACTGTCCAACACAGCAGGGCTAGCCACATGGAGTTATTTAAATTTAAATTAATAAAACTGAAAACTAAACATTCATTTCGCACTAGCCTCATTTCAAGTGACCAACAGCCTATGTGGCTAATGGCACCATCCTGGACAGCACAGATTTGGAACATTTTCGTCATCTCAGAAAGGTCTACTGCTGGCTAGCGCTGTTCTGCACTCTAGGTAGCCACAGAGGCTCACATGTGGGTTGAGTAAAATCACAAATCAAAACTGCATAGTTCAGGGCCCCCAGTTTCAGATTCCAAATGACACCTGAGCAACCGACACCGCATCCACAGGGACAATTTCAAAAGACAGAGGCCCGTGGCTGAGCCAGCCTGGAAAGGGCTTCAGAGGCATGCTAACTGCATCAGTGACTGAAGGGCAACTTCTCTTTTGCAATCCTTGCTGGTCTAACAGGCTCCTGCAGAATTACATCACTTCCTAAAAAACAGGCAAACACTTCTCCTTCAAGTTAGCACCTACCCAAACAAGCAGGAAACAGGAAATGTTCACGTTTCAGGGAGGCTGAAGCCAGCGCAGCCTCATGCCGGAGGGAGAGCCCAGGCGAGCTGACATGAAGGCGCCCCGAGCCGCCCTCATCTTCGCCCTGCTACTCGCGCTCCTTCCCACCGGCCGGGCTCAGGGTAAGCTACCTCCACTCGGGGAGCAGGGTGATGAAGCCTCGGCTGGTGCCCGAGGCTACAGAACTCTGCCCGGGAGGCTAACACCCAGAAAATGTTATCCTTTTTGTGAAAGAAGTGGAGAAAAGGAGAACTGTCTTTTTAAGGTGGTGGGGAGGGACGGTGAACTTGGCTTTCCCTGCAGCTATCAAAGCGCGCTCTAGCTCGCTCACTTAATGTAACCTCCCTGAAATCTTTTTGTCTTCTGAGATATGGGAGTCCCTGTAATTTACCAGTTTTAATGGGCATATTAAGAAAACCATAAAGTCTTTGGCAGTTCACGGAAAAGAACGTTTCATTCAGCTGAAACAGAGAAATCATAATAAATTTGATTCTAATAATGTGGGCTGAGAAGTCTGCTAGTTTTGAAAACTGGAAAAACTGGGGTATGGTAATTTACTACTCGAAAGTATACTAAAGAAAAGAATAAGTTTAAAAAGAATGTAAACAGGAAATTATCTGAGGAGTTCCCAGGCATCTACTCCAGCTTTTCAAGAAAGGTCTTTCATCTGTTTTTCTTTTATCTTGTTATTTTGGGGGATATTTTCTTTGCATTGATTGTTCCTAATGAAGCTTTGTTTAGGAAAGTAACATGATAACAGCAAATCAAAGGTATTGAAAAAGAAAAAATATTAAATTTCATTCTTTTGAGCTAAGAGCAGTTATTGGTTTATATCCTTGACAGTTGTTACAACAAACGTAGTGCCCCTCAAATGCCTCCTACAGTTTTGTTGACTCTCCCTTGGGTAAATAAACTTGCTGCCCATAGTTTTTCAGTGGATACTACCTGCTTCTAGTGTAGGGCAGTGCTTCAAGCAAAAGGAAAGTTCTCAAGCTACAGTTCTTTAAATAGGATGGGCATAGGGCACTGATGACTTAACAGATGTCACAACTTCCTGGAGATGAGCAGTCAGCATCCAACTACCCCTACCCCGCGCCATCAATTTCTCTTTCCCTGGGTGCTCTCCAGGTGGTCTCTCCAGGCTTTTGAGGAGAAAGGCAAGCCATTCCAACTGTAAAGATGTTTGGTTGAAAATGAGGCTAGCATTCAAAATAAGTTTGGGGACAATGTTGTTTAATTCACAAAGTTTTGGAGCTGGAAGGGAGCCTAAAGATGAAGCAGCTCAAGCTGCACTGGGGGTACAGACGAAGAAGCTGAGGCGGAGGAAGGTGAGATGTCTAGATCCCTGCTAGTCAGCTTTTCTGACTTGGACTTCACGGTTCTCTCCTCTCACCCAGGGGACCAGCCACACCCCCTGCCAAGACTACTGGACTAGACTCCTTTTTCCTCAGGGCATCCCTCAGCACTCCCAAGGAAGTGGGGCCTAGCCATCCCATTTCCACTTCTGGTAACTCTTATCACTACCACAAACACACCCCAGAGAGTAATATTAACCTTGCCTAAAGATTTTCTTGAGCGTCTTGAAAATGATTGAATCGAAGTGTTTGCAATTTGGGAGATGTAGAAGGAAAATCTGAAGCGACTCAATCTGTAAAACTTCTCTTCCTGGGACCCATACCTGATCACATGAGTCTTCCACTTAAAGAGCTTCAGTGGCTCCTCATCTATGCTTCTTGGACTCTCACATCAATCTCCTTCCCAGTGGCACCTCCTTCCATGTGTCCTCCCACTCCCCAGCCACAACTCCTCTAGTCACACTGAATGGAGCATGTGCTCCAGGCCTCTGTGGTTCCTGCCACAAACGAATGACAGGTTCTCTTTTTTCTACTTAGTGAATTACTATATAACCTTAAAATGCTCAAACTGAATGTCACCTCCACCTTGATGTCTCCCTGTACTTCACCCTCCCTGGTGCTGTGCCTTTACCCCTGTTATGCCCCTTAGACCTAAATGTATGTAAACAGAGCTCATCACTTTGAATCACAATTGTGTCCATGTTCTTATCTTCCACCAGGCTGTGAACACCTCCAGGGGAAATCCTTTTTAGTTCTTTTTTTGACTTCCTAAAACTCAGTCAGGGGTCAACATAAATTAGGAACTCAGTAATTGTTAATAAATACTAAAACCATCCAAGAATGGCTTATGAGGCTAATGACTACACACTGGTGAGCTATTGATAACAGGTAGTGTTAGTATGTCAGAAGAAGCCAAAGATAAAAAGTTGCATTTAAATCACAGATGAAAAGCTGTATTTTAGTAGAGCACAGGGATTATCTAGCTAATCCAACAAGTTCATTGGGTCCTTGCTGGATTCCCAAGGTCTGGAAATATAAAAAATACCACTTGCAAAAAGCTGTATGATCAAAGCATATTACTTTGAGCTTAGTCAAGGGAAAGGCTATTCCAAATTAAAGACTGATTATATATTTTTAAATTAATGAAGGTATGTCCTTTTGATTTCATGGTGCCTCAGACGTCAGGATGTGAGTTGGTTTATGGATGTCACAATTGTATTTCCTGGAATTCTTCAAGAAATACCTTGGAGATGTTTGGTGGAAGAATCCAATCTACTGAACAGCCCAACTCTCTCCCTTACAAACATATCATGGGACGTATCTCAAATCAGGTCTTTATTAACCACAACCTGGCAACATTATCTAATACCTGCAGTTACCTGAGACCTGCATCATTACCTCTGAGTCAGCGTCTTCTTCTTTACGTAGATTGAGAGCCTAACGGAGGCTTGATTGCTCTCCCAAGTGAATAATCCACTTAGAAGTCTCCTAGAGAGAAATGAGAAAACAGTTTATCGGGGATTTTGACCAAACACATGAGCGTAGTTAAAGGAAAGCTCTGGGCCTTGGTGTCTTGGCCAGTGTAGGATATTAAGAAAGTTCAGACTCAAGGTGACATTGTGCCGCTGGAGTGAAAGGAGGCATTCCTCCCCCATTCCTCACCCTGGGCCCTGTCAGTGTCAGCTTAACACTGTCAGGAAGCTAAAAGCAGCTTCCCAGATACCAGCACCGTGGGCTTTGTTAGCTGCCACAAGCAGAATGGTTTGTAGGAAGAAGAGTCATAAGACAAAGCAAGGTGGCTGCAAGTGTTTGATGGGGCAGAGCCAAACACCGGATTTGACAGAGAGGACTGGGAGATATTCTGGGCTATTTCAGAAGAGTAAGAACCATGTAGTTATTGATTAATGAACCTTGAGAAGATAAAGAAGAGAAGAAAATTCTAGTTGCATAAATGAAGTGGCACTTTCTGACATTGTTCTCGTTTCGGTAAATGTGACTGCCACCTGCTGTTTTCTGGGACAGTCCCAATGAAGTAGTAATAATGATGATAGGGAACATATACAGTGTTCATTATATGCCAGACATTTTCTAAACACTTTCCATATACTAATTCATTTCATTCTCATAACAGCCTTATACGATGAGTACTATTATTCCTGTTTTACACATGAGAAAACTGAGGCACAGAGAGAGGTTAAATGATTTGCCCAAAGTCACACAGCTAAGTAGTAGATCTAAGTAAGATTCAGCTTCAGGAGTCTATGCTCTAACCATATACTATATCACCTCTGGGTTTTCAGGCTGTGTATCCAGTTTCAGGTTTGGAAAAATGTCTCTGGTGACTTCCCAACTATAGATAGACACATAAACTCTTGGCTGGGCTCTAAGGTTACGTACCACATATTCATAAAGGAGCTGTATTTGGTGCAGTCAGAGACTGGCTGACAGGAAAAGGAGTGGTGAGAGTTGGGTTAAACTTTGGCCTGAAAAAGGGGAAGGGAGGGGCTGAAAGGTATAGAGTGAGCAAAACAGAATCTAGGGATTAGCACAGTTAAAACCAGAAGCAGGTAGATGAGTGTTGAAGTCACTGGGTGAGAGGCTTCAGAGTGTGGGAACCAGGGAGGAAAAGCCCAGCTTTGCTGTGGGGAAGGCCTGTTGAGAACTGACCCCAAAGACCAGACACACACACACACACACACACACACACACACACACCAGAGAGGGATTTATTGAAGCTTAAAGTCCCTCTGTGTCTAAAAGGCTGACAAGTCTGACCTAGAAAACCAGAAGAGGGCAGGGTCTTGGCTGGGATGAGCTCAATTCTATAAAGAAACAATGCAACCTGTAATTTGTCTACCTGTGTATAGTTTGCACCACCCTCAAATGTTGGCGAAGATGTGGAGAAACAGGAACTCTGCACTGCTGGTGAGAGGGTAGATTAGTGCCATCACCTAGCCTACTTTGCTGCTTAACACAGCCACTGGGCTTTTAGTTTCAGCTATCATATTTTTCATTCCTAGAAAAAAAAAATTATTTCTAGAAAATTCTTCATATGTGTAATATGTATATGCATATATAGTGTCTTGGTTTTATTATTGTCTTGATATTTATTTCTTTTATGTCTTTATTTTAAACATATTATTTGGTAACTGTTATCTGAAGTTTTTGTAGACCTATTCTTGTTGCTTGTTGTATATGTCGACTCCCATTCATGATGGAATTCTTGAGGCCACTGAGGGCAGAACCTGCACATAGAGGATGACTCACCCTATTTAGCAGAACCCCAAATTTTCTGATCCTATCACCAAGCTACTGTAAATGTTTAACCAATGCAACCCCTGTCCTGTCACCACAAAATAGCATTTGAAAGAGACTCAGACAGGGATGTGCTGGGCTTGAGGGGAGCGGGTGCTTGCACCCCACGCTTAAACCTCAATCTGGGATGGGGAGGGGCAGCCTCCGGGATCAGCCTTCAAGAGTCACATAAAAAGGTGCCAAAACCTCATTAAAAGTGTAGGCCAGCAAACCAGAGTTAGTAGTGGTAACCAGAAGCAGATAATCGAGGAGACCAAAGTGATGGCCAAAGAGAAAGAAGTAGACAAAACCAAATTCAAAATCTGAGGAGGGGCCAGGGTCTACTGTGTCAAGACAATGGAGAGATCAGCCTGACTTTGACTTTGGACTTTTCAGGAATCATTGCAGTTGCTCTTTTTTTTTCTCCCTCTCTCCCTTTCTCTCTGTCTCTCCTTCCTTCCCTCCCTTACTTT